TAATGACAGAATATGCATTAATAGGTAAATAAATATCTCTGTCAGTCTTCTAATATCGGTTTAACGGATATTTTAGAATTTAGGATGAAATAAATAGGAATGAAATAAATACATACCATTGCTCCGCATTCTATAGTAATAGTATAGAGGCAGTATTACCATAGAGGTAACTCTTAGACTAGAAGGTCCCGAAATAACGTGCTCAACTTTTTGGCTCAGCTCTGGTACTCTCTTCGGTCCCAAGCTAATCGATTCACCCCTCGAAACATAGGAAAATCCACTAGCCCCTCATTTTATCTGTCAAACTTTCATAGCGAATCAAAACAAACATTATGTATTTATGTAGTAGTAGAATTTCGACTAGAATGGGGTACGTTAATCGTTTGCTTGGGACCAATAGGCTAGTCAAGTAGTGAGCCAATTTAAAATCGTTAGTTTCGTATTGATTGTTGGTATTACCAAATACATATGTTATAATGTCTATGGTTAAAAAACGGGAAAATACAATATAATGTATGAGTCTATCCATGAATGCCTTTTGCAATCACATTACATCGCATTCAACATATGTGTTGCGTTGGCTATGCGCGGAAGGATACCTGTTTTCATTCAGAAATAAAACTAACTTAGTGAATTAACTCAGGAACGGGAAACATATAATTATAAAAATCATGCTCAACACAGACGAGATTCTTAGTTCAGTGGTAACTGTTTCTATTTACTAAGCAAAAGCACCAAATCATTTTTAAAGCTATATTTCATTTTACACGCTAATTTGAAAGTGCCCATTCATGTAAAAAATCAATTATTTAATGAGTATCTATTACACACGTAACTGTTACCCATTAAATATCAGTGATGAGTAACAGTCACTCACTAAATGGGTTAAAAATTTACCTACTAACATATGACGCCTTTGAACTTCTTTGAGTAAAATGTGCACATATGCCCGGTGATGGTACTGAAAAATGGTTTAAATCATGCTGATGACAATTTTTGTGCACAAGTGTAAAGCGAGAAATATCAAAGAGTATCTGAGGACATACCTAAAGTAGGAAATCTAATAACCTTAAATCCAAAGCTGTTAATATTCCACTTTGACCACGGGGGCAACAATCACGAATTTCGGCGGAGATCATATCAATGTGATGAATATAGTGGGATGACTGCAACAGACTACTCTTTCTAACATTCAGCACTGCGATGCAAGTGTGAAAGGGTAAGCTGTTTTTTTCTGTCGTACCTCCGTCAATTTATTGATGTCAGTATGCCCAAAAGTGTCAGATTGTACAAAAATGTCAAAATCATGTGAGGTATGGTGCATCTGCATGTAGTTGACAGGGATAGGGTCCCCCTGACTTTGATAGATTATGCAGAGGGTACCGTTGGCGAGCGTCTACGATTTATCAAAGGTGTAATCAGGGTTTGGGCTAGAGGGGGAAACTCTTGAATTGGTTTATCTGACTGGGAGAAGAGTGGAGATGATGGTGCCATCCACCCATATGTGTCAAAGGCATAGTATCCGATGCATGTGTGAATTAGGATTATTGGTGTACAGCGAGCGACTCTAAATGCAGGGAAGGTTTTGTGTTGCAGTCGTGGTTTGGTATTTCGGTAGCCTTGACGGGGTTGCATCAGGAGTGGTGAGGCGGATGAAAGCCACGATAGAGTTAGGTAGGGACTGGTAAATTTTTTTCCTTGATTTTGATTTCCGTCGATCTTGTTTTCCGTGCTGAGCACCAATGCTACCGACGCCAGGGAGACAGCTCCCACACCTGGACCCTACCTTTCAGACAGAATCTAAGCGACAGATAAAAAAGCGCTGCGCGTGAGTGAAGGTGGAAGCAACGCATACAAAAATGAGCAAATACACTAATCCTTTTTCTGAGGATGTATTCTTTGCTATCAAATTCGTTCGAAGCGTTTACCTTTGAGCGGCAGATGACGCGATTGTACCCGTCTCATAGCGTTCCTATGAGAAAATGAAAGAGTTGCCAGTCTTCTTGATTTGTTGTCTTCGATTTTAATCAAGATAACAACATGTATTCTTAAAATGTTGTACAGTGGCGAAAAACTACTTTTTGACATGTTTTACTCAAAACGTAAAATGAGCCGTAAGTTTTAAGTCAAATATACTATTTGGCAATGAAATTGGTTTGATTCCATGAGTCAATAGCAACAATAACGAAATAATGTCCATGCATAACCTCCGCTTTCAAATTTGAAAAAGTACACAATGTTGTGGACAGGATGATGTTCTCTTGATTATTACTCGAGATAAAGTATCTCTCAGACCTTCTTAAGATTAAATGTGTACGTTATGAACTAAAACAAAAATAATATTCACTGAAAATGTCAAGTAATGTGGTTTAATAGATAAAAAGTTACAGCTGTTTATGTGCTTGTCATTTTTATCGAATACACCCTTTTGCTGTTGAAGTCTTTATGATGTTTCAAATTCCGTGACAGTTATCGTCGACACCGGATATGATCGGTAATACCAACACACGATAAAATTGTTTGTAACGGTCGTAGTGGTTTGTAGTGATATGAGGAGCTCCTAGCATCATTTTCTAAATATGACCCCGTACATACTAGACAATCAGATAATTCTTCATATATCGATACGAAACGAAATGATTTTTTTTTTCATCAAACATATTCCGAGAAATCTGTAAAACGAAATTTCCAATACAATGCAGCATTAAAGTGAAACGACGAGACTGCATTATCATGCGATGAATTCCATTAATATATATGATTTGGACTTAATCTGTAATTTTGTCTGATTCTAAAAGGGATATACCAACTAGGGAAGATGGCTGCCCATTGGGTTATTGAATTAATCACTGCCGCTACCACAGTACAAATCAGCAAGCGGAGGAAAACGTTAAAACGCGGTTTCTTCGTAACATTGCTTCTTATGCAATGGGGCAACCTGTTTAGCTGTTTTTCAAAAATTTCCAGAACAAAGTTGTTGAACTTCGTGAAATATCGCGATATTTGCCAACGCTGATAAAGAGCTTTCGATGCCTAGTACCATGGTAATCGAATTCAGCCACCTCTAGCGTGCTCTTACTTTGTAGCTGTGCCTTTACTGATTGAGCTAATGGAGGTCCCTGGTACTCTGAATGACAATAGATTCTCATGTGATTTGCACAATAAAAATGTTTAAACTTGTGCAAAGGATTCATATTTGCAAAATCCGTTCAATGTCAAAAGTGCTGGAACTAAAACATGCGTAACGTGTGATTTATTTTCGTGGCAAATGTGGGTGGTAATTAAGGAAAATGGAGAGATATTTGATTTAAGTATGCTAATTTGAAAGTAATATATGTAGTACCTATATCTGCAATATACTGATATCAAAAATGTATGTTTATGTTATGACCATTTTTTTTAAATTACAGCTACTCCGAATCATCCTGTAATAAAGAAGGAGTCAACTCAACGAGTGATAAATTTTATTTGACCATTTTTAGGGATCTTTCTGAGGCGTAAACATCTCTGGTCACGTCTTACTTCGGAAGGGAAGTAAAACCGTTGGTCCCGGCCCATGTGTGTTGAATGGGTGTGATATTCTATGCAGGTGTGGAAGCTGCCTTCTTGCACATTCGATTGCCGTCAATGGATGGCAATCGATGTCCGTCGGTGATTGGAACTAGATTGCGGAACAGAGACCGATGTTTAATAAAAAAAATACTGTTGAACATTTTATTTGAGTTGCTCAAAGTTTTGTTCTTTTGATTTTTTGTTCCTTGCATTTTTTTCCTACATCCCAATTTTTATGTCCGTCCATGGGTTTAAGCCATAGGATCATAATTCAGAATTCGCTTCACTGCCAACTCCTTTTACAGACCAATACACTGTTGTCAAATTTCAGTTTAGTGATAAAACTTCGTTTTATTTTAAATTTGTTGTTATTTTTTCTTCGTATATATTTTACATTGAAACGTTTAATATATTTGTATCTGTTGTTGTCTATGCAGTTGTTTGTTGAAAACCTTAATAAATCTGTATATTTCCACTGTGACCTAACGAATAACTTTCTCGAAGACAATATATCGCACACCGTTGTTTACTCTTCTGTGCAGTACATATAGACCAGTTAGTAAGAGTGTTAACTGTACTACAATAGCTGTTGGTGGATAACTAAGAAGTTATAACGTGATCACATCAAAAACTTTGAACATTGTTTCTTATGCTATGTTCACACTATGGAGTTGTAGTATGGTACAAGATTATATAGATGACGTTTGACACCCTTGCAACATGTTATAACTCCGAAGTCTGAACTGAACAGCTTTATAATCATTCGTCCGTCCAAAACATGTTGCTAAAATGATACAAGGTTGCTCACAATTATTTGGTAATTATAATCAAACTACCCAGCAATAGCACACTATTTTCATTGTATATTGTTTCGTCTTTTAATTTCACTTGACATGACCGTGAATGCTAAGCGGCCAATGAACTTAACAGCAAAATTAGTTCCCATGGTATCACTAGAAGAACATCGAAGGCACTTAGTAAAACTCCTCGGATAGATTTACAGTTGATCGCCGATGACAGGTTCTCACTAACCAATCCAACCAGACTTGCATATACCTGTACTATAAGCATACGCGCACGACTCATCAAACTCGCAATCTTCACAACCTATCCTGCGCTCCAGCAGAGGTTCACAGTTCTGGTTCTATATTTACGCTCGCATCTTCATCATCATGACATTAATAATTACGGCAATTATCGGTGCCGGACCACGCCGCATACGCATCTGATATGCGGTACGATGCCACACGGATAACTGCCTCAATTAAAGCAATGCATGTCGGTCGGGTCTATTTAGTCCTTTTCTTTTCTTTATTGCTTTAGAGTAATTACATTTGCTGTCTTGGGAAACCAAAATAAGCGAGTTTGATTCACACTAAGGTTGTTTTTGCTTTTAAATGAAAACATTTAACGCCATTGAAGCAGCTATAGAAATCTCGAAAACTCACTTTAAGTGCCACATTTTTACTCCTTAAGATTCCGGTTTCAGTCAATCTCTTCACAACTCTGGTAGACAATTGTTCAGCGCAAGCTTGTTTGTAATCGGTTCACTTTTCAACAGTTCAACTCCTAGTCACTTGAATGCTTCTTGTTTTTTGTATCAAATTTCCACTCTAATAGCCGAACGGTGTCCATCGATCTCAAACCTAGGCAGGTACTTGTCTCGATTTGCTTAATTTCAATGCCACGCGTACGTGTTACCGCCACGATACACAAAACCGTAATGAATTAAGGTTCTTCTTAACATTTTAGTTTTATATAGTACACATATCGATTCTGCAATGTCTTGTTCTTTCTCAGCATAATGATGAAGATGGTTCTTTTTCTTTCTGTCTTGGTTAGCAGCTCAAGAGGTACGTTGATAATGACTGTTGATGTTGTTGTTATTAATGTTGCTGGTTGTTCTTTCGCCCGGTTAACACACCAGAATGAGTTCCAATGGTCCCGATATAAACGAGAAGAAGGCTTATGAAGTCCAGGCGTACGCGCGTTAAGCGGCGTTAAAAAGTAATACGCGCGAAAGAACTCCAAATCACAGACTGTGCTGAAACCGGGCAGGCTCACGCGAGGTACCCTCCGAAACATTCATCCCATCAACCAACAGCGACGCATACATACACCGAAAGGTGGACTGGGCTGACCGATGGGCAATATAAACATTCGCAAAACATGATGATGGTCGGTCGTGGATGAGCACGATGGCGTTCAGGTGGCCACTGTTTGAGATTTTGTGCTACGAAGTTGGGGATGCAAAAATGAAGGAACATATTTAATCACACTCGTTCAGGTAAGATGGTAGTAAACAATAACAGAATATAATATATAAAAATATATTTAAAACTCCAAAATCCCGATGCGCTTCACAGATCTTGCACTACAGGTATGCAGTTGAAGCTCATTGTAATGGAATGGAAATTATCAATATGTTATAAATTACACCATACCGTAAGAAAACGGTCTACACCCCGATTGACGATAAATAATTACGTACCAAACAATTTAAAACACTCTTGAAAATTAGCCCATATGCGTTTGAATGAAATCCTTCATACATAGAAGGACAATGATTCCAGGATCCGATTCCTGAGAAATGATTACAAATATGTCCAGCTCAATGAGTTCCCATACACCCTCATGCCACGTGTTGCCACTAGCATTTGCAGAAGGGGTGGCGCAAAGAACTTCCAAACGGGCACTGCCAAATCTGTATTTATATCAGGATGTGCATGGAACTATTCAGTGTGTGATAATTTTGATTATAGATATTCAATATAATAGGCAATTGTTGAGTTATGCAAACTAGTGTAAATATCCTACGGCGGTTATTCACGGCGGTTCACACCTGGAACAAGTTCCACCAGACCACCAGGTACGCATTATATACAGCATGCATCGGTTGATGAAGACATGCAGCTTTTGAGTGTTCTCCGCTGATACACACATAAACCAGTATAATTGTGAACGTTACAGTTTATTCCGTAGTACTGTGATAATTAGTTAATAATTTTGTATGAAATTGTGCAGTGTGCAATTGTGAAGAACTGTTCCTACGCGTGCCCCGTGGTGATTTTATACCTGGATAATTAGGAGAGAAGTTACCACTGCAACTAGTTCTCGTTTAATCCACATTTTTCTTTCGCCACGCCGCTCCACAGAGCAAAAAGCCTAGATCAAAAAAGCTGGCCAAAATAAGAAAACACTTTTTTGAGGTTTTCTATGTAGTTTTATTTTTGATGCATACTTAAATATGTGTTAAACAAAGTGGCAACGTTTGAAATACGTTAAATGATGTTTGAACATTTTGGGAGGTGTTGTTTTGAGAAACCGCGTTAAAAAATCGTCTTACTTCAAGAAATTGTATTGTAAATAGATATTGAAAGATATTTTGGCATCACACACCTGAACCTTTTTTGCAACACTCAGTCATGGATTATGTCTGTATACCTCATATCAGCATACTGTGGTATATTTCACCAACACAGTAGGCCGAGTGATTGAACTACTTAGGTACGAATGTTTTATTAACTGTAATAAGTCCATAACTCGTTACAGCCAACAACCAGTTTATAAATAACGCCCAGAGACGAACCAGCCAACGGCTGATAATCTCTATAATAAAGAAATCAATAAAGTATACACAGCAAAAAAATAATTTTGATATCACATCAAAGTGGATGCACTACAATCATGTCGAAAATTTCATGTAATTTTTATGACCACATAAATAAACAAATGCAGTAAAAGCAGCGTAATGTCAGTTCATGCATTGTATTAATGATAATTTTGTCCTTTTTAGCAAGTAATATTACACCATATTTTCGACATGATTGTAGTGCATCCACTTTGACGTGATATCAAAATTATTTTTTTGCTGTGAAAACAACCAGTCCCGGACTGATTCTTTATAAACTGTTTATAAAGTATATTAGCACACTAATGTACCCCTATCATCACTCTCAACCATGTTATGGTCATGATACCTTGAAATGGTGATCGGCAAGGCGAGGCTAGGTGAGTTTGATATATCCTTTACCAGCTATTATGTTCTGGTAAATGTGTACCCTTTTCTGGTGTTATAGGTCGCTACCCTTAGGACATTGGTCTTATGGGAAAAAACGATTGTTCTAAAATCAGGTTTTTCAGCTCACCTGCACTGCACACTACAAAAAAGACTTGTAAATTTCAGTGCCCTGAGACCGACACATGCAAGCTTCCTTTTTGACATAAGAATCAGTTGAAAGGGACGAGAAAATCAATTCAATCAAACGCACTTTTCATCGAGTTGCAGATATTTCAGTTTCAGGAAACTTAATTTTACATGCCATGTTTGTTTACGTTCCATGATGTACGTCAAAGCTGAATTACGTCTCGTGTAAAAATAATAATTTCCAAGTGTGTGGCTTCCTGCTGACGAGGTGACCCCCTTATTGTATTCTATGACATACAGTTTTTCGGATCTGGGGTTATGTCCTCGTGCTCAGTGTTGGAAATGTTGGCGATATTTCACGAAGATCACGAGTTCGCGAGTCATAGTGAGTTTTTGCGAACTTTTCCATCGAGTCGTGCTTAGCATTCTTACAGATTCAACCAATTACACACTTAGAAATACCTAATTTTACACGTGACGGAATCCATCTTTGACATAAAGGATGAGACGTAAACAAACATGTCATGTAAAATTAAGTGCTCCGAGATTGAAAAGTTCGGTACTCGACGAAAAGTACGTTTGATTGAGCTGAGTTTTGGGTCTATTACGACTCAATTTTATGTCAAAAATGACGCTCGTATATGTCAGTCTCAGAACACCTAAATTTACATGAATTTTTTTAAGTGTGTACGCTCAAAATTATACCGATAAATCTCAAAGACTTGACCAAGATTTCAAAAAATTCACGATAATTTTAAAAAGGTTAAAGCTTATTGAACACTTTAGAATCGAACTAAAAATATTCCGATGTTATAAACATATGTCCGTTGAAAAATGGAACACTTGGGATCTCCTGGTTGGATTACATCATGGATGTACTCCTATCTTTCAGGACGCAAAGAGTTTGTACATTCCAATCCAGTACATTCAAGATCTCCTCAGGTTTGCCACAAGACAGGGCACTTGGTCCTTAATTATTTATTATTTTCGTCTACGACCTGTCTCGGCGGCTGTTAACATTCAATGTTTGCCGACAATCTTAAATTCTACTGTGGTCATCTCTTCAGCTATGGAGGGCACTGCCTCAACATTCTGCTAATTTGGTGTACTGACAGCAGTATAAATAGCACCCGGAGTTGTTTCCACTTCCACTCACTTCGCAATAAAAAAAAAACATATTTTTCGGAATTATGACTCATTAGGTGTTATGATCACATTTTGTACTTGTAGGTTACAAGAAGAGATTGGGAAGTATGCATTTGACACATAAAACCTGTCAATATAACTTTTAGAGAGTTGCAATCAGCGATGAGTGCGACGAATCACAAATCGTTGTTATGATCGAAAACTTTTTTTCAACATCTTCTTCTTGATTCTTTTATTTAACGTCGGTATCTGTTCCACAATCGAGTGCCAATCACCGACGGATATCGATTGCCGTCAATTGATGGCAATCGAATGCCAAGGAGATGGCTTCCACACTCATGGACCACTGGTCGGTGGTGTGACACCGTCGTTTTTCAGTATGAAATCACCGGTGTCATATTGCAACTGCGAAGTTTAATCAACGCCAGAGACACACTCCGCGATGTTTGCTCACTAGGAAATTTCCGGATTACTCCCTATCGCGTTAAATCCGCCCTCGACAAACTGAAATACTCCACATCATCTAATCATGATGGTATGACTTCATACATTTTGAAAAGATGCTGTGACGCTCTGATTCATCCTTTAACAGTACTGTTCAATGCTTCTATGCGAGAGCACGGATTTCCCTTCAGCTGGAAGACATCCGTTATGGTCCCAGTCCACAAAAAGGAGATAAACGCAACATCGAGAATTATCGTGGGATTACATCATTGTGCGCTAGCTCGAAGATTTTTGCGATCATCATCAATGATATCCTGTTTGTTTCCTGCAAGAATTACATTTCTTCCGATCAACACGGTTCCTATCCCAAGAGATCTGCGTCTACGTACCTCATTCAGTTTACTTCTTTCTGCTTGCACTCGTTGGTCAATGGCACACAAGTTGACGCTCTGTATACCGACCTTAAATCTGCCTTTGATCGTGTTGATCATGGGATCTTGCTTGAACGTCTTTAACCTGCTGGTTCAAATCTTATCTAACGGATCGGAAGCCAATTGTGAAAATTGGAAATGAATCATCTGAGCCGTTCACCATCTTATCAGGCGTATCTCAGGGCTGTAATATGCATCCTTTGTTCTTTACTATATTTATCAATGAACTATCCAAAACACTGCCCATAGGTTGCCGATTGTTATATGCTGATGATGTCAAAATTTACATGGTGGTGAATAGTATTCAGGACTGCCTTGCATTACAACAGTTATTTAATCGTTTCGCTGAATGGTGTACTTCAAACATGCTTACATTGACCATTCATAATTGCAACGTCATATCGTTCCACAGGAAACTGAAGCCGATTATACATGACTATAACATCGCCGACCAGCCTCTTGAGCGTGTTCATCAAGTACGGGATTTGGGCGTTATCCTTGACTCAGCGCTCACCTTTCGATTACATTGCAACGACATTATCTCATATTCAAAATAATTAACGAATTCCGTGACCCACACTGCCTTCGATCGCTATACTGCGCTCTGGTGTTTGGTGCTCGTTACAGTCAACGTGGATTGTTAGGATCGAAGCAATCCAAAGAAAGTTCGTGCGATATGCCCTTCGTGACCTTCCGTGGCGAGATCCCCTCCAGCTACCAGATTACGAAGACCGTTGTAAAGTGCTTGGTATTGAAACTCTGGAGAAAAGAACAGGCAGTTTTTGTGACTAAGATCCTGTTGGGAGATACGGATTCATCGGAGATCCTCGTGCAGCTGAATGTTTACGCACTGGAACGA